CAAGTTGAGTGTTGATGCAGGTGAATGGTTTGATGATCCTGAAAGATACAAGAGGTTGGTGGGAAAGTTGAATTATCTTACTATTACCCAACCAGATATATCATTTGACGTAGTATGGTGAGTCAATTTATGCAACATCCTCGGATTCCTCATTGGGAAGCAGTTCTAAGGATTATTAGGTACTTGAAGGGTGCTCTAGGTCGTGATTTGCTATACAAAAGTAAAGGGACTCTTGAGATAGTAGGGTATACAAATGCTGATTGGGCTGGTTCTGTATCATACAGGAGATCAACTACATGGTATTGTACCTTCCTTGGTGGCAATCTTGTAACTTGGAAGAATAAGAAACAAACGGTGGTGGCAAGTAGTGCAAAAGCTGAATACAGGGCTATAGCTCATACCACATGTGAACTAATACAGCTGAAGAACTTGCTACAAGAGATGGGGTTCTCAGTTGACAAACCCATGAGACTATATTGTAATAATCAAGCAGTTGTTCACATCTTTTCCAACCTAGTCTTACATGAGAGAACTAAGCATATTGAGGTCGATTGTCACTTTGTAAGAGAGAAAGTGATTAGTGGAGTGATAACCACATCTCATGTGAGCTCGGGAAATCAGTGGGCATATCTCTTTACAAAGGGATTGTTTCAGGGCAGAGTACATTATATTTGCAACAAGTTGGGACTATATGACATATACTTTCCAGCTTGAGGGGGAGTGTTAGAATTCACAGAATAGGGGTATTTTGGTCATTTGGGTTTATCTATTTGAGAGTGAAAGGTTTGTTTTATTCAAGTTTAAGTTATGTGTCCCATCACTTATGTGGGACAATATTGTCTTTCTTATAACCAAGCTTATGTGAGATAAATGCAAGTGGATCGACTAGAGAGGACTGATTTTCCTCTACTGGCCGAACCCTCTTCTTCTTCTCTACTTTAACCTAGAACTATATAGGATTTTCACACATACGTAGGCACGAGGTATCATTTACCGGCTAACTCCGTCCATTGCTGGGAGTTAGCATACAAACAACAACTGCTATAGGAATCTGCCACATCAGAGAAGCCCACTGTGTCCATGTGGTTGATGTCACATACGCAGAATACCACCACATTCTTTGGCACAGTCAAAACCTACAGAGAGACGTGGACGCTTTGATGCAGGAGATTTTATCTTTGCGATAGCATAATTTGGAACTTGGACGCAAGGTCACAGAGATGAGGGTGTGGGCCAAAACCAGTGTATCGAGCAACAATCTATAAAGTGAGAATAACAATCCCCATGGTCGCTTTGGTACCGCGAAGGGACTATTGATATCTATTGGCCATATATTTTGATCAATAGTTGTATTGTCCTTACTCCCTACTACCCCCTACCCCCACCCAACCTAAACACTATCCCAATAGCATGGAACCACCCCCACTAGAGGTGTTAGGAACCTTCCCTTTCCTTTATGCTAGTATAACATGTATGTTAGTGTCGAGTATGTAGGGGTATTTCTATCTTTTGTGCTTGTGTTTAGGTGTTGATGTGTAAATTTATGTTAGATTTAATGTCCCTAACTTAAGTAGGGACATATGTGACTTTTCCACATTATTTTAGTAATATAAAATACATCTGGCCGAATGGGAGAGTGTGCTTTTTCTCTCATTCGAACCAGAATCTTTTCTCCTTGTTTCTCTTCTGCTCTTCTCCTTTATCTCTTTCTCTCCTTCTCTCTTCTCTCTCTCTTCCTTGACTGTTATCAATCTAACAGGCAGACCGAACACTAACAATGTATATGGAAATATTAATGGTAGTCATGTACTGCTGATACGTGCCTGAACTTTACACGTGCCAATTGGGTTTCCTTAGGTTTATCTATATGTCTATGTGCCAAAAATATAGTATAGGCTTGCACGTCACACCTAACAATTTAATTTACTTCAATTTATGAGGTGGTACCGCACCCTCCTACTGCCACTCACCCACTAAGCATCCCTACACCTTACAATCGCCCATTGGCCCGACGACTTGGACCGGCGGTGGGAAATGGTGGTTCTGCAAAAGCATCGCCTCCCACAATCGGCCTTCCTCGTTGGCCCGGGCCGTCTTCACCTCCTCTAAGGACATCTAGGAGACCTCTCCCCACCTTGTGGAGATGGTGCCACCGCTCGTCTACCTCGCGCTCCCCCTACAGGACTGCGTGTTGAAAATGACAGAATCACCCGGAGGCCGCTCTGGCCGATGTGGAGGGATTCGCTAGCCACCAAACCTACTGCCACTCACCCACCGAGCATCCCGACACCTTCTCGTCGCCCATTGACCTGACGGCCTAGACCAACAATGGGAAACAGTGGTTCTGCAAAAACATCGTTTCCCACCGTCAGCCTTCCCCATTGGCTCGGTGTGTCTCAGTCTCCTATAGGGACATCCTAGAGACCTCTCCCCACCACGTGGAGGTGGTACTTCCGCTCGTCTACCTAGGCTCACTAGCTGGCCGCTCTGGCAGGTGTGGAGGGGTACGGTGGCCACCATACCCACACCCTCCTACTGCCACTAACCTACCAAGCATCCTCACACCTTCTGGTCGCCCCTCGGCCTAATGACCCAAACCATCAGTGGGAAACAATGTTTCCACAAAAGCAATATTTCCCACCATCAGCTTCTTTGTGAGCCTAGGTTTCTCTGTCTCCTACAAGAATGTCTATTCGATGGATATACAAATATTTCTTAGTGAACAAAATAAATTACGTTTATATATTTATATTTAAAAGTCCAACATAACTACAATAAGACACCAAAATGGTTCGCCAATATGAAAACAAAAGGACAAAGAGTCTTCTAACACAATCATAAAAACACTGAACCAATGTATTCACCACTTATGATAAACTATCTCCAGACTAGTGTCAGGAGAATAATAACAACAAAAACAAAAACAAGTCGCCTAACTATAGCCATACTTTTAACAGCTAACTCATGGGCTGATTTCATGGACTCAATCTGCCTTCTGCAAACATCAACTGCTCTGTCCACATTTCCAAGGCGTTCCACAACATCTCCATGACTACTTGCAAATGTAACCTCATCCGACCAACCTCGAGGAATCGCCCACTCAAAAAATTTGCAATCGCCGGCAAAATCACTTTCAGTCGTTGGGCTATCTAGCACCTACTCCTGCAAGTGCAACACATGTCCCTTGCAATGTACATGCCTTATATCAATGCTAACAAATAATATCATCCCACTGAAAATATTACCTCAGATTTTAATCGACAACTATAGAACAACTTCTGCGGGTTATTTTGGGTTGTTGAAATTTGAAGGATGCATTTCCGTTTGCAATAGCTATACTTAGTATCATACTGCAAACTACTAGGGGATTGATTCCCGACACTTCATTGGCTATTCATACCTACAAATGTTCAATAACCCACGGTAATGACATAAATTAACATTAAACAACTCATTTTCATTAGCACTAAACCAAGCAATACTAAAAAAGTTCATTTATAGAAGTCCTTACGGCAATCAACCAAGGACAAAACAAGTAACAAAGTAAATTGTCTGTGGTCGAGTAGCATCAACAAACAGGATTCCGATCTCCGGTGCGCCGCAAATTACCAAGATTGGATTAGGGGGTTGAACAGTCAATCACCGACACTGATTGAGAATGACGCGTAAGAGTGCAACGAGCTAGGGAAGGCTTCACAAGGGTGGCCAATGGAATGCTAAAGCACCAAAGTTAGCTAGAAACACAGGGAGCATCCAACTGGAGTTAGTCGGAAACATAGGGAACACAAGGCCTCCAAGTCAGTTGAACACAGGGGGGCTGAGAATCCTTCCAACAACTGCTAAACCCAGCTTCAAGCTCCCTTCAACAATCAATGCAGAGTGCCTCCAACGGCCGGTTTTTCTTCACCACCAGTCGGTTTCGGGCTGCAAAGATGGGTAAACCAACGGTTCAATTCGGTTTTGGTTTTCATGTGTGAAAACTGAAACAGAACCGAACCGAACCGAACCGAGTTATATAACTACTTATTACTCATTAATTATTACTTAACTAGGTTGTCTCTATCCTAGTTACAACCTAACTTAGTTTCTAGTCTTCTCTTTAGGATTGTCATTAATGGCAAGTATTACAAGGCAAGGAATCCCTAGTCCTACTCCCTACACCTTTACTCCTTTAGAAATATTAACTTGATAGCTTCTTGCATTTTTTGGAAAGGTTTAAAGAAAGGATCCCTACTCTTTAAGGTCCTTTACACCAAATAGGCAATTACAAATAGGTGTCCTTTTTTTTCTTAGATTAGAAGTCTTCTTCCAATTTCCAAATTTCATTCTTCTTTCTCTTTGACTCTTCTTTTCTTGGTAACTTAATCCGCCCTCAATTCAACCACTCTCATTCTCTCAACTCTCAAGAATCAAAATTTTCAAATTTCAAATTTCAAGGAACCAGCCACAAGCAAGAAGGGACAAGGCGCAGTGGATGGACAACAAGTAGAACAACAAAGTTTGACTTCCCAAATTATTCAAGTGACAATCCTATGACTTGGATCTTTAAAGCCAAGAGATACTTTGAATATCACCAAACCGACCCAAACCGACCAGGTCGGTTTTGCTTAGTATAGGGTCGGATTTGGTTTCATCTTTAGGTAACTCGACTAGGTTGGGTCGGTCGGAAAAACACCAGTAAACCAACCCAACCCGACCCATGAACAGCCCTAGTAATACAAGAATCGCGTGAACATTGAATTTGCACAGTTTCCTGATGCCTTTTATACAGATAATGTTCAAATTATAATAGAAAAAAAAAAGAACATAAAATAAGAAATTTCCATCATTGTCAAAAACAATATGAAGGCTTGGTCTAACTTTTAAGAGGGATTTTAAAATACCAAAAGCATTTAGAGTTTCAAGGAGAACAATAATATGGCAATAATAGGAAACTTTGTAATTAAGAAATATAAAGATATAGGAAGAACAAGCTAATTAAATATGGGAGACGAATGGACCTGTAGCAACATATTCAGGTGCTGCATAGCCATGAGTACCCATGACCTGGGTTGAGACATGAGTCCTGTCACCAGTAGGGCCTGCTTTTGCCAAGCCAAAGTCAGAAAGTTTTGCATTAAATTCCTGCATCAGTAAAGCATGATAAATTTAGGAATATTTAAGGATCAGGATCTTAAATGCCGATGGAACAATTTGCAGATACCGCATCTAAGAGTATATTAGAAGCCTTGAAATCCCTGTATATGACTTGAGATTCAGAATCATGCAAAAAAGAGAGCCCTCTGGCAGCACCAATGGCAACTTTGATCCTTATTGACCAAGATAGAGGCTGGGGKCCTCCTGCAAAATAAGAACTTTTTCTAATCCATAATCACAAATGACAACGTAGCTAGAAGACTTCAGGTTCTCTCATGCAGTAAACCTATTATGAATTTATATGCTTTGATAAACTCCTGAAAATGGTTAGCATATATATAAATATAGTAAACTACTTAAAGAAGTCAGCATGATCCAATTCCATTTTGTACATCCCATCACTAAAAGATCAATATTGTACATTTTTTATTGGTAACTTTATCAAATGATTTAAGGGAAAGTGGACTAGACGGTATGGTCATGTGCAGAGAAGGCCACCTAAAGAACCAGTATGAAGCAATCTGTTACAAGTTGAAGGAACTAGAAGAGCTAGGAGCTAACCAAAATGGACATGGTTTAAAGTAGTGAGAAATGATTTATGGGCTCATAATTTAACAATGGATATGGTACTGAGCAGAACAGAATGGCAGAAAAGGACTCGTGTAGTCAACCCCATATAGTTGGGAGTTGGGACAAGACTTCGATGATGATGAACTTTAACAGATGATTGTACTTCTGAAGTAGATGTCAAAGGATGAAATCCTAATATATAGACTCCACAAATAATACAATTAATCCTGGCCAAGTAAGATTTTTTTAATTTTTGGGACGGGGCTAAAGAAGGAGAAGAAGACAAAGAAAGCTCCTCAAATAAGAAGCAAACGCTCTGTTTAATCTCTGGAAGTGCTGAGAATTTGGGTAAAGTTTGAAGTCAGCATTTCATCAGAATTGATCTTTTGGGTGGTGCGTTCATGGTTTTAAGGTAGTAATGGGGGGATGGTTGGGATGTTACATTATTGTATGTTTTTCGTCGTGTTTTGTGGAAGGGTTTTTTGATATTTGTGCTGGGTTCTTGGTAGCTGTATTTGGGGTGGGGTTTTCAGGATGCCTTTGATGTTTGTAAGGTTGATCATCTCTTGTATAAGGGGTTAAGTTGAAAGTTGTGGTTTGTTCATTGGTTGGATGATTTCTTATCACCTTGTTGTATCCTTTCTTATTTTCTTAATAAATTTTATTTTTTATTTATCTTCAAAAAAAGATCTTTTTTTTTAGTTTTGGTAATTAACAAGATGATTTTCATTCAAAAAGTCTTGACGCAGAAGATAGAGACAATACAATTGTGCAGAGGACACAACCTAAGGGGGAAACTGAGTCAAGTACTAGTATCAATTTAGTCTTTGTACCAATCCCTCGTGTGCCTGAAGCAGGTGTTCCTGTTTCCTCTTCTCTTGTCAATCCAAGAGCCCATGAATATTCAGTTCCAATTGAGATGGCTGAAGGGGAAGGTCAGAATTCTGAGGGGGAGAACAAAGGAAGAGAAGGAAAAGGGTGAAAAAAATATGGAGGTTATTTTGCAATTTCCAGGAAGAATTAAAAAAGAATGACATAGAAAAGATGATAGAGAATTCTAAGAGAGCTCTATCAGATGCAGGAGAGGAAAAACTCGATGAGAGGAATGGAAAGTCAAATAGAAAGAGTTGTGAAGAAGTTGAAGACTCAGTTGTTGGTTTCATTGGGAAATTAGGTAGCAAGCTCAAACACACTACTGAGTTGAAAGCCTACATCAAAAAGTTTGAAGAAGGGGAGAAAATTAGTAAGAGGAAGCCAAGTGAGAATGAGAGACAGAGACTGGATGTCAAAGGGGATAAGGAATTTAGTGGAAGAGGAAAAAGAAGAAGAGGTAGTTAATAAAAGGGATTATTATCAAGGGGAAACCAGATAAAGTTATTATGAGGATAATTAGCTGGAATGTACATGGTTTGGGGAGTGCAAGGAAAAGAGCTATCATAAAGAAGGCTATTAGGAAAGAAAAGCCTGATGTGGTGTTGTTGCAGGAATCCAAATTCACTGACTTTGATACAAGGTGGGTAAGAAGTCTTTGGAGATCCAAGGGGATAACCTAGGTGATATCCCCCTCTTGGGGGGGGGGGGGCTTGGGAGGTAACATCACACTATGGAGGAGTGAAGTTCTAGAAGGGGTAGAAGAGTTGATTAGTAATTTTTCAGTCTTCATTAAATTTAAACAGGTTGAGGATGGATTCGAATGGGTTTTAACAAATATTTATGGACCAAATAGTTACAGAGAAAGGAATGAGATGTGAGAGGAACTCAATGCGATTAGAGGCCTGAGGGAGGGCCCTTGGTGTATTAAAAGTGATTTCAATGTTGTTATATTTTCAGAGGAGACAAATAATCCAAGGCAAAGGATCACAACCAGCAAGAGGAAGTTCAATCAATTTTTGAATTCCATTGAACCCAAGGATTTGCCCCTTGCCCATCATAATTTTACTTGGTCAAGTCTCCAACTTAATCCCCCATTTGCTCTACACTAAATAGATTCTTGCTTTTGATAGATTGGGAGGAGCATTGGGGTGGACTAGTATTGAAGACACTACCCAGAATAACATCAAACCATTGGTTGATAGCATTTTTTTTTGATAGATAAAATTCAATTGATTACATTAGAAGCAGATGATAAATAGTTTGTTACAAGCATCCCAATATGAGGCACGAGGTGCACCCTCACTCATTGATACAGAAACATCATAAAATTACAATTAGGCCCAGTATAACTGTTCCCTGGTTACCCCTTTTTTAGCTAGAGAGTCGGCAAAAGCATTTGCCTTGCCTCCCTCCCCACCCATTGCATAGTTACCTCCATCTGCTGAGTTAACCATTTGAATTTCTTTAATTCATTTCTGTAAACCCAGATCACTGAATCTAGGTTTTTTAGCCAACCCACCACCACCTTGGAGTCCCCTTCTATCACCAAATTTTCCAATCCTAACTCTCTTGCAATCTGTACACCTTGTAGGGCAGAGTACAATTCTGCCTTTAAGGAGTCTCCATTCCCCACTGGTCCTGAGAAGAGTGCTTTTAAGTTTCCTTCCTGATCTCTGATGACCCCTCCTATTCCAGCTGGGCCTGGGTTGCCTTGACTACTCCCATCGAAGTTTAATTTCAGAAATCCTTCAATGGGAGGAGCCCAAGCCAACCTTGCCATAACCTTCTGCATTGAGCTAGAAGCCACCAAGGACCAATTCCTCCAAATATCATCAAATGTGAAATTTTTGAATAATTCCACCATTGGTTGATAGCATTATACAAGGAAGAACTGAGAGGTTGGGGTCCAACTCCCTTCAAATTTGAAAACATGTGGTTAGGCCATCTGGGTTTTATTCAAAAAATAAAGGAATGGTGGAAAGAGGAAAGGCCTTAGAATACAATGAAAAGGAATGAGTTTTCACATGAAGTTACAAGGGCTGAAAACAAAAATCAAAGAATAGAATGATTTGCATTTTGGTAGACTAGAAGAGAGCAAACAAGAGGTTTACGATCAGATTGAAAAGTTGGATAATAAAGAGGCACAAGGTTTAATTGAGGAAAGAGAGAGAGATTTAAGGTGGTGTTTGAGAACACTTAGAATAATAAAAGAAGTACTTCTTTTAAGACATGGGACCACACATTAAGTGGTTTTTAAGTACTTATGGGTGTTTGGTAAAAAAGTGGGGAAGTACTTTTTTTAAAGTACTTCTTTGAAAAAGTGACTTCAAGTTGGCCTTTTTGTACTTCTCCAAAATAATAGGACGAACCAGCCCCTAACAAAATTTTATAATGACCAAAATACCCCCGCAAGGTTATACCTCCCCCTTCTCCACTCATTCGACCCTCAAACCCTAGCAGCAGCAGCGCACCAGTTGGCAGGTCCACCAGCGACGATCGGCGGTGAGGAACAGTGGCCGGCGGATTTGTCGTTTGGCCACTTCCTCCTATTTCCTGAAGTTTGTTTCTCATTTTAACCATTTGTTTTGGTTTTTTTTCTAACCTGAACTCCCTGTTCTTCACAGATCTACACTTGAACTCCCTTGTTCGAACGGCGACATTCTCACCGTCCGGCCACCGGCAACAAGAGGTAAGTTTGCAGACCTATACTTGACTGTCCATTTTTTCTTCCTAGTGTTTTTTTTTAACTTGAAACTCGACAGAGACCTCGAAAAAGGTTTGATAATGATTTGCTTAGTGCCCTAACCCAAATTTAGAGATCAACTTCAACTACATCAAAAGACTGCTGCATTAATTGGTCTCATTGACTTGTAATTGATGGCCGTTATCCTCAAAAGCACATAACCTCATGGAAAATCTGTTTTGCTTCTTCAGTTATTCTTCTTTCTTGTGGATTTCTTTTCCCACATACAGTGTGTGAAACCCACTAAACGACATTCCGTGTTTGAGGAATGCAAGGGTTGGATGAATTCCTATTTTAGCTAGAATTTCTCAATAGGCTACACAGTTCCTGACTTGTACACGATAACAGTGCGGCTATTGATTCAGGGACACTCTGGAATCTGGATCCCTCAACTGTTCAATGTTTGAGGAAGATCTGTTCAATGTTCTAATTGATTCAGGGACACTTCAGATTTGTCATTGACCACTGAAAGCCTACCTATTTCAAAGCAAGTTTCTAATTGTTCAATGTTCTAATTTCTGATTTGTGTGTAACTAGGAGCCTAAAGTCTTGGTATTGACCACTGAAAGCCTACCTATTTCAAAGCAAGTTTCTTCTCCACATCTTACAGCTAGAAATAGGTAAATTCAGACCCCTTTTCTTTACAATACTCAGGGTTTAGAAATCACTCAAAAAGAATGAGCAAGAATTCTTATTCTTTTCAAAATTTTCAAATTTTCCTAAAGCATATGTTGCCTCACTTTTTTACTTTTTAGAAGCTTATATGGTTATGATTCAGAAAAAAAAAATTCACCACTTTCTTCATTCTGATATGTCCTTAATTATTTTCTGGTTGCATTAGCTGAATTTATACTTCCATGCTGAAAAGATCTGATCAATTGCAAATATGCAACTTATTAGAGATAAACTTGCTATTTTCTGAAATGAACTAGTAATTTCTATGCCCGGGGCTGGGCTGAAATGAACTAGTAATTTGCTTGACAGAGAACTCTTCAGAACTTGTCCATTGCCAGCACCT